CGAAAGCAAAGGTATTTCCAAACGTATTGCATGGGACAAAGTTCGAGGAGGTTTGTGCCACCTCAAGCACTCGTCCCCAGGTTCCGATTCTCGCAGAGGGGGTGGGGAATGTCACGATGGCGATACGTTGAGCCAGGGATCAAAACAACGACCTTTGGGGCAACGAACCCATGCTCTACCAACTTACTGGTCGCTAAAATCCCCTCTGGGAGCAGCCTTTAGGCCAATTGGTACTTTACCCTGCTGGAGGAAGAGATGTCGTTTGTCAGATTTGGACTTTTCACAGTCTTTTTCAACATATCTCACGATCAAAGACGACTGGATGGAAGGACAGGTGCACGCCATAGATATCCCCATTGCCGTTGCATCTTTACTGTTAGGCGAAAGACACTTTGGATATGATGCTCATTTTGCACTCCATCTACTAATATTTCTTTACTTTACTGTTAATGTCAATTTCTCCTTGTCGAATGCATTTATAGAGGTTACTTCATAGAATAGCAGAATGTGAATCCTTGAACACCCTATGAAAGAGTAAACTATACTAAGAGGATGACCAGCGGTGCGAAAGCAAAGGTATTTCCAAACGTATTGCATGGGACAAAGTTCGAGGAGGTTTGTGCCACCTCAAGCACTCGTCCCCAGGTTCCGATTCTTCCATTTGTATTAAAATCGCACGAAATATATTCTCGCTCCTGCGCAATTTGCTCATTGTATCGCACCAACTTGAATATTTCTGGTTGTTCTTGTTCTACAGGTGAATGATTAATCCAGTTGAAAACATACATTCTGCGGTTCATCTAGTGAGACCAGTCATATTATTGCATCTGATACCGTGATCCGATCACGCTACAGAGGAACTGGTGTGTTGTTCTTGACCGACAATGTGGTGTGGTAATAGTACTACTAGTACTTGAAGATTAAATGCGAAGTACTGAAAGTAGTATTACTAAGAAATGAATTCGAGGCATTCAAGTTCTTGTAAGTTGCATTTCGACAGTTTCTACTACCGGTAGATGTTTTTCCGCGCTATTACTGTAGATTTTAGTATTACTATCTGAACGTGGTGAACCTTCCGGCATTTTCCTTTTTCGGCTCGACATCAACATGGCGTCTAACGATATTTACCACGGCCAAGCCGCGTTCGCCCCCGGGTTGGAGGTCGGTCCTCACGAGTACGCAGCGATGCCTTTTGACGAAGAGTACGGCGTCGAGATCAAGGTCACGCATTGTGGTATCTGTGGCTCGGACCTGCACACCATCACAGGTGGGTGGGGCACCGTCAAGTACCCCTTGGTCGTTGGCCACGAAATCATCGGTCATGTGACTCGCGTCGGATCGAAAGTTGACCAAACCAAGTACGCCATTGGCGCGCGTGCGGGTGTGGGGGCGCAGTGCGGGTCGTGCCTCGACTGCAAGCAGTGCCACAACCAGCTCGAAAACTTGTGCGACAACGGGCCTATCTTCACGTACAACAGCAAGACCTCCCAAGGGTACGTCACGCAGGGAGGGTATGCGGACTACTATCGGTGTCACTACAAGTTTGTTGTCCCCATTCCGGACGGAATCTCATCTGAAAAGCGCGGCGCCAATGATGTGTGCTGGCGTGACAACGTATGCCCCGCTCAAGCACCACGGAGCTGGCCCTGGAAAGCACGTGGGGGTTGTTGGTATTGGCGGCTTGGGCCATCTTGGCGTCCAGTGGGCAGTTGCGTTGGGTGCGGAAGTAACGGCAGTGTCGAGCTCGTCGAGAAAGGAAAAGGATGCCAAGGAACTCTTGGGCGCCCATCATTTCGTCAACTACAACGATGTCAACGCCGCTCAGGCAGCGGCCAAGTCGTTCGACATTTTGCTCGTCACGTCCTACAGCAAAGACACCAACTGGAACGCGTTGCTGGCGCTGGTTGCCACCAATGGCAAGTTGGTGTTGGTGGGACTGCCGGAAACCCCAATCTCATTCTTCCCGTTCTCCGTCGTGTCGAGACAAGTGACGTTTGTCGGTTCGTGCATCGGTTCCCCCGCAGAACTGGAAGAAATGCTCGCGTTTGCAGTTGAAAAAGGAGTGAACTCGATTGTGCAAGTCATGCCCATGAGCCAAGCGACGGAGGCGTTGCACAAGGTGCGAGATGGGTCGGCTCATTTCCGCATTGTGCTGAAGCACGAGTAAAATCATAAGGTTGTTGATGCAAAAGCGAATACGTCGAGCTCTCGTCAAACACCACAGTCAGTGTGGAGTCGATTCCATTTCGAATCGAATACATAACAAAAAGGTGTCCATGACACCAAAACATTCTTGGTGATGGGCGGATTGTCCAACAACAACGGTCACTAAGGCAGGCAGTGTGGAATCTTTAATGATCCCGACATGCCGCTCTCGAGGCTGGCGATGGCTCACAATGCACTTGTTCCTCCATCTCGTCTCCGCATTGCGCAGCATCATACTTCTGGGGGCGGGCGTTTATTCAAATTGTCAATATCGATCAGCTTTATATCCTCTAGTTTCCATGTATTACAATAATGGCGTTGGTCAACTACAAAAAAAGAAAGGGGGTGCTGTGCCTCAAACCTCGACTAGAAAAATGCCGACAAGATTTCATCCTGAAATGCAATAAATACTACGTAGTAAAAAAAATACTCCGAGTCACTCGACTTGGTCCACCTTGATTGGCTATAATCTGGAGAATATATGTGTATCAATTGGAAGCGGTCAAATTTAACTTCAGATCGGTATGGCTACTGACTGAGGTCTGAAATTTGTATCGGCACTGCAATTGGTCAAAAGGTATGCCTTAAATGAATTGGAATTGAAGTACTTCGGAGTATGATTTTGCGAAATTTTTAATTCAGGGAGAGGTGGTAGGCGATTTGGGGAGGGGGTGTCGGCTTTTTCCTGGGTTCGCTGTATGTCAACGTCACAGTGTATGCGCCACGTAACTTGTACACTAACCGAATGCATGGTATGCAAAGCGATCGATTGTCCTGTGCCACACATGCTCCCAGAAAAAACATTTGTGCGTACCTTGGACATTTCTTTGGCAGAGAAAAGATTCTGGTCGGTTCTTGGATTCCTTTCGAAACCAAAAGCAACTCACGACGCTTCCGCGTGTGCTTCTCTCGTCTCCACGCAAAGCCCCTTCCTTACTTCCCCCGCTCGCAAGCGGTTACAACGTGGAACAAAACTCTCGTGCCTTGGAGTCCCCCCATTTTCCCCTTGAAGCCTCCTGGGCATGAACGAAGTGGTCAGGCTAGGGTCGCTGGCACGTCAGGCAATGCATGGGGGTGTTTCCCCTTCCGTCTTGCAGCTTTGGAGCGCAGCTGGCGAAAAGATGCAGCAAGTACTACTGCACCAGCCTGTCGTTTGTTATGGCAGGCGTCATTTCCTTGCGAGATCGTTAGGGTTGGGGCCACTTGGCGACAAGAAGAAAATTGAGATCGAATTGGCGCTTGGCTACTCGCGTGCTGTGCTGGCCCGTGCGTCGGCCAGCACCAAAGCCGCACAGAAGAACCGCCGCCCGGAGAACAAACAGGGTTGATAGTGGTTCCTCTCCTTTTCGTCGGGACTTCCCGACCAGAAACAAGATACGCATTGGACAAGGAATTTTCCTCGTCACCACACTATTGGGAAATGCTCCCAAAACGAAACAACGACAATTCTCGGCACGTCGAGCCTGGGACATCGACCGATAAATCACACACGACCGAACACCCCCTCGGATGCTCCAACCACATCGTCGAGGATCCCTGTGTTGGCAGCACACCCAGCCACATGGGCTACCCAGAAATTGCGAAACATACCCGCAGCGAATCCGCTTGCTTCGCTGAAGTGTTCGTTCCGCCTCCACCCCACGCTACTTAGCACCCCCAACTCTCGACATTACTCCCCCTACAACACAACATACACCCATGTTGTCCAGCATATCAGTTGCGGAGCGCAAACACTCGCAGCTGCCTCGTGATGGGCCAACCGAACGGAACGCCGAAAAAACAAGCTCGAGTAGCACTTGAAGTCCTCATGGAGGTAGTTGCTACTGCGACGCAGCCTCCGTGGCAACTCTTCAAGGCACGAAAGGAACAAGAACACTGAAGTCGATGGCGCGAACTCCCACCAAAACACACCACCCATCATTTTAGTCACTGTTTGCTGCCGATCGATCCAGACTGCCGCTCGGGATTTGCAAAGCACGTCACGTAGAGCGAGCGGCACACACGAAACTTGCCATTATACTCTGTATGTCGTGGCGAATTACTGTTTTGCATGGACGATGCCTTGGTGTGAGACTCCCTCTGGCATGGCACACCGTCCTGCCGTCCTTGCTGAGCCGTCGTGCCGGCCTCGGAAGCACAACGCCGTACAGTGAGCGCGCATTCCAAGGACGCCTGGATGACCACCTGGACGACCACCTGGATGGCCACCTCCAACAAACGATCCAACCACACCACCCGACGGGGAAGATGTGACCCCCCACGCTTCCGTGGCCAAAAGGGAAGAATCCCGTTAAGTGTCTGATACGCACGGTGGGCAGCCACCTGGTCGCCGCGACTGGCGACCGATCGACGGTGCAACTGGGTGCTCCTGTCATTTTTTGCTGGGTACGTCCATGCGGTTAGGCACCTCAACAAGTCACCGCATTCGAACGGCGCCGGGTTTCGTCGAGTGAACGAGGCGTTTGAGGCGACCGAGGCGTGTATTTTGACGCAGCTCACGATGGAGCGGTGGGGAATTTGCCACTGGTGCGTACGGTGGAGAGGTGGAGTCTGTCTCGACAGCGTCTGTCGTGAAGAGTAGGCCTGGTCTGGTAGTGGCTGCTGCCATGTACATTTTCCATACAACTCGATCCTCCACGGAGGAAGGCTTATCGGGGAACCATGTCCAAGCTGCCACTGCCGCGCAACATCTTTGACTGCCCACCCCTGCAAGACCACGAGATCACGTCGTTTAAAGCGCAGGCGACCAACCTCGCCATCGACGTGGTACGTGTGACCACCATGATCTTGTTCGGGGGGTCGTTTCTTTCGAGTCGTGTAGATTCGCACGGCGCGAGTCCAAGGCGGGTCCCAGAAATGGGAGCTCCAGTACGACGAAAGCGACTTGAAGATCTACAAAGGAGCCGACACGTCGGCCGACAACCTCCAATGCGCTGTCCTCGAAGTCGCCGGTACCATCGAAGAAGCGATCGAGTTGTTTCGCACCGACTCGGCTGAACTGGCCGCCGAGTTTCACGAGCGATTCCAAAGTGACGTCCTCGACAGAATCGTCCTGTACAGACTCATGGAGCCGTCGGTGGAGTCTTGGGAATCGGGCGGCCACGACAAGATGGATGTATCGTGGATGGCGCTCAAAAGCCCGATGAAGACTCTATCCAACCCACGCGACCTTTGCGTGTTGTCGGTACGCGTTATAGAATGCCAACCCTTCCCTCGCTCATGCCACGATGTGCTTTCTAGTGCTGCCACGAATACGACTACGACAACAAGCGGGGATGGGTGTATGCGTTCCAGTCGGTCGACTTGCCCGGATGCCCGCTCCTCAAGAGCTCTCACGGTCTGGCACGAACGTTCCACGTTGGTTCTGGCTACGTCTTTCAAGAGTCGGACCGCCTGGGGTACATCCAAATCAGCTACTTGAGCCACACGCGTCCGATGCAAAGTCCCGAATGGGCTAGCTATGACGTGTCGGCGTCGAAACGATGCCGCAACCTGGTCGATATGGATCGTTACTTGCGCGAGAACCGACTGAGCGCGACGCCGTTCATGTCGAAAGGCGACGTCGTCCCGGTGGCGCTGCGGCGAATCTGTTTTTTATGTCGCAAAAAGTTTGGCTCGTTTGGACGAAAGACAAACTGCTTCAAATGTGGCGAGGTATGTGAGCTACTGCACGGTCGACGAGCGGTTTGAATGCGGTCTTTGGCAGGTTATGTGTACGAGCTGCAACCACCACTGGCATGCTCGCGTGAACGGCGTGCCGGCTAAAGTTCGCGTGTGTACCAAGTGCTCGTCGGGATCGGTGGCCGCCACGGCGGGCTTGAATCCGACAAGTTTCGCCGGCTTGTCAGGGTTGAGTGGGCTTCCGACACAGGACCGCACGTCGAGGCAGTCGACCATGTCGGTCGAGACAGACTTCAGCATGTTCCGCAAGAGCTTCGAATCGGACGCCACGTTTGACGTGACGCGCATCGACTTGAACGAATCGCCGTCGAACGGGCGCACTCGCAATGGATCGAATCCACGGGTGTTGTACCAAGAGCAATGGGACCAACAAGAACTACGACGACGAGCAATGTTGCTGCACCAGACACAACCTGACCCCGAGCCAGCCAGCGTAGACCATCGAACTCGGCAGCTCTAACCGAAAACGTAGCTTGCAGTGCGTGTCATTTGGCCGACGTCTCGACTGGATGAACCCGAGTGGGCTGTGCGTTCGGGTGGTTTTCGCTGAAACGAGCATTCAAGCTCTTTTTCGAGGGAATTTGAACGCCAGCCACCGGCAAATATATTTTTTCCCCAAAAATGAGCTAATATTTGCGGGGACACCCGTCATCGCTCATTGGAGAAACCCCAAATTAAAAATAGGCTGGAACTTGTATCCGTATATTGCAATTTGTATCAAAGACATCCAGTGCGGTTACATATCAATTCTTGAAGTAAAACGCCCTACAAATTCCCAAATATCGGTACAGCGACGTACTGTAGGGGATGATCTTGCCTACTTTCACTTCAATTTGCACTAATCAAGCAATACAATTCAAAACTTGAGATGGTTCAGACAAGGAATTGGTTCTACCCCGAGCTCGGCGATGTCGCACGGCAATCTCATCGCAAAATCAATTTAATTTTCCAACTGCGAAAGCAATTTGTCCTCGTTGACATGCATGCAATGCACGCTGTCGTGTTGAGTGTCGCTCTCAAGGCGAAGGCGAGCAGCGCCGGCTTCACAACGGCCTGACTTCCCCTACAGAACACCAGGACATCCAAAACCAGCGAATCAACAAATATGTACTGCCGATTTTTGATACATGTCCGTTCAGCGTGTTCGTCGGTCACAAGAATCCACCCCCCCCAATGTTTGTCTGCGAGGCATGTAAGCGAACGATAGTGTGGGGCGGCAGTGCGGCATTCCCGAGAGCATGCATGTTTCTCTTGGACCAGCAACCGTGGATCGGCGCTGTGTTGACTAGCCGTTTGTCCTTCACATCCTCGTTTGAATTCTTTTGGATCTGGTACCTGTAGTGGATGACAGCCAGCCAGCTGGTCACAGCAACTGGATCTACACTAGGCGGTGGAAGTGTCCTTGCCGCGAGGTGCGGGCTCTGCCCTTTGTACACACCGCCCGTCGCACCTACCCATTCGCCTGGGCCCAGGCTAGTTGATTCAAGTCGCGACCCGGCACAGCGAGCGAACAGAGTCCAAATGCCCCTGCAGGTGGGGACTTCGCCGCGGCGATGAACTGCTCACGTGCTGTTTCTCAGATCCAGTTTGCGCAGGACGAAATTACGTCCGACCAATCACATGACTCTGCACTTTCCGGCTGTACTGTCCCAGGCAAGGGTGGCGAGCATGAGGAATTCGCCGTCCTCTTGTCGTCCAACTGGTCAACACGTACATGGCAACCAGCAGATCCACTGGGCTCGCATCACAGCCAAGGGCCATCTACCTTCCTCGCAAGTCTGTGCGTATGGGAGAGTGCTGTCTTGCTCTAGGAGAATACTACCAAACTCGAATAGCGTTGTTGCTCGAGTGCATGCCAACTATTGGCAGCAGCAACGTCGAATCGATCGGGGGTAGCACTAGTGGAATTACCAACAACGACTCCTCGATACAGCGAATTCCTCGAGCCAAATTTCCAAGATTTCTGGGCTTTTTGGGCACTTGCCGAAACAAGTCGTCGCGCTTCCATTCCTCGTATGTCCATGGCGACAAGCTTGCCCCTCCCTCAACACTTCTTCTTGTGCCCGCCGCTGACTGACGGCGAAGTTGCCCACTTCCTAGTCCAAGCCAGTCAAAACGCCATGAATGTCGTACGTGTTAAGATGCCTTTCACATCTTGTGCTGGCATCGTTGGACTTTGTGGGGTTTGTTGCAGGTGTCTAAAGCACAGCTCCGAGGCGGTTGTGTGCCATGGACGCTCATGTCGGACGAAGCCGACGCGAAGATCTACAAAGCGTATGACGAGTCGAACGGCAGCACGTTGCATTGTGGCGTCACACAAGTTGTGGGCACAATCGAAGAAGTGGCGGCCCTGTTCAAAACGGAAACGACCGAAGACGCGAAAGAGTATTGCCGACGTTTTGGCAATCGACTGCTGGACGCAGTTGTGCTGTACAATGTCAAGCCGTCGTCCGCCGACACGCCTCTGGAGAAGGTCGGCATTTCTTGGCGGGCGTTCAAGTCCCCTGGTGGCAAAATCATTCTAAATCGCGACACGTGTGTCCTCGAAGTACGTGCACTGCGCATCTGCCAGGCTGTTTCGTTTGAGGGGCAAATCCAGTTGAAAGATTATCCAAAACGTCATGTTGTAGAGCCACCACGAATTCAAGCTCGGCACGCAACGGGGATGGGTCTGCGCCTTGACATCTATCGAGCACCCGTGTTGTCCAGACTTGGAACAGGAGCTTGGGTTGGTGCGCATGCAGAATTACGGCAGCGGCCACGTCGTAGTTGAGTCCAAGACGCGGCCGGGGTACTTGGATATCACGTACGTCACCCACGTCGACGTGAGCTTGGGCAAGTCCGAGTGGGTACTCGATGCCGTGCTCCGTCAAAAGAGCTGGCTCGCCGACATTTCGATGAAGAAGCGGTGTCGCAACGTCGCCAAGATCGATCAGTTCCTGCGAGAAAACCGGCTGAGTCAGTCGCGGCTGCTCCAATGCGATGCCATGGTGCCGGTGGCGTCCTGCCGCAAGTGCTTCCTCTGTCAATCCAATTTTGGGCCATGGAAAAAGCGATGGAATTGCCTCAAGTGTGGTCAGGTACATTGGCACGATCCCTTTCGACTGTACTGAGAGTAGAGTGGTCGGATTGCGTTGTAGGTCGTTTGCACAGGATGCAGTCGGTTGTGGCAATTGGTGGGCGGCGACTCGAGTCGTCGAAAGCCCGCTAGGTTTTGTACGATGTGTAGCTCGGCGCCTCGCACGCACATGCCCACCGTGATCGACGTGAAGCGGTGCAATGTTGGTGGGAACTCAAACCGAGGCCGCCGAGGCCAGTGGCATCCCATTCGAGACCTGCGCAATTCGGCCAACTCGATCAACGACGCAACAACCATCGCTTCATCAGACAGCGAGCCACCCAACCACGACCGGTTCGTCTTGCTAGCTCCGAAACAAAACACTGCGCATGACGTGGTCCTGACGAAAGTGTGAACGAAGAATTCGACCTTGAGATCCTGAGTTCGAGCCAAGGACTGTAGGGGGACGTAACAATGAACCGGCCAAACTTTGCTGTAGGTTTCGTGGGTGTTTGGGTGTTTGGGACAGGCATGCTGTCAAAAATGTGCTTTCGGGGGCGGCAGCCGACATGTACCTTTCGCAACAAGATGTCGTCGATTCGGTTCGACTTAGAACCTTCGACTTAGAGCTTTAGAACATTCATCCTTGTCGTCCTGCTAGAGGGACGCCTGTACATTAGAAAGCTACATCCTAATGACTTTTACATTTGCCCGCAACAGAAGTCACTCGCTTCTACCGTCTTGGGTATGCTCTTGGTGACGCCGAGAGAATCCGACCCTGAAGAGTCTAGCCCTCTGGACTTCGTTATTAATTTGTGCGTTCTCGTGACCCCGCGCGACCGTCACACCACAAGAACGCAATACATGCTGCCACCAACAAGTGCCCCATGATTTCTTCGTGCGTCCATGTACTCTAGCGCGACGCTGACGAAGTTGTCGATTTGCCACAATGCCGTAGTGTCAGGTGTCCAAGTCGCGGTGCCGTGAAATGGACGCAATACACATGGCCGATGAAGCCGGCGCGAAGATGTACAAAGCGCTTGATTCATTCAACGGCACCGCGTTGCCATGCGGCACCACCCAAGTAGTTGACTTGATTGTAGCAGTCGCGGCATAGTTCACAGATTGGAAACGACCGGTATGGCAGATGAGCACTGTCGGCGTTTTTGCCACCTTTGAATTCATCGCGGTCGTGCTGTACAACATCACACCGCGGTCCCTTGAGACGCCTCTAGAAAACGTCTGTGTGTTGTGGCGGCATTGGAGTCGCCAGGCTTGAAACTCGTGCATGATCGAGACACGTGTGGCACCGACGGGAGTCTGCCAGTCCTGTATGAGTGCTCAACCAGCAACAGCCTCCATCTCATTCTTGATGGTTTTGTTGTCCCATCCTTGGCCTTGCCACAGTCAACCCTACACGTGCTGACTCGCTCTTGTGGCTAGCCTAGGTCCAACACAAATTCAAGATCCCCTCGCGGAGGGGCTGCGTTATGCATTGACGACACTTGACCTCCAGTGTTGTCCAGACTTGGAGGACAAACTGACTTTGGTGCAAATGCAAAACTACGACGTTGTCATGGCATTCGTGACGCGACGGGGTAGTTGGGATATTGCGTAAATCTCTCACTTGATGTGAAGTTGGCCATGCCCGAGTGGATGATCGGAGTGATGTGTATGTAGGGTTGGCTTGCAGATATGTTGACGATCAAGCGGTGTCGCCAAGTTCGGTCGATTCCTTCGGGAAAACCGGTAGAGTCCGTCGCGATTGCTGCAACGGGACAAGTAGTTGGTCCCGTTGGAATTGAATCGCAAGGGTGAGCTGTGCCAACCACTCCATCTTTGGCGCATGGAAAAAGCGAAGGACACGGTTTGGCTGACATGCGACCCAGCCCGAACATGTCGAGACCACGCGTACCCGAGTCACGAGGGTCAAAAATTATTTGATATTTGTAGGTTGTTTGCACAGGATGCAGCAGGATATGGGACTATCTGCATGACGGCTTCGAATCGACCTCGCGCACACTGGCTGGGTTTTGCACCATGTGCATTGTACCTCCCCAGGGAAAGTCGCCTTCAGATCGCGTATGACGCGACCAGCATGAGAGTGCGTCGACAGGGCTCCCCATTTGCGGTGAAAGTGGTCGGTTGTGCCCATTCGACACCAACTGCCTCAATGTGCACTGCACTCGATCGGATAGATGACGACGACATTTAACGATGTAAAGAGTCGTGATAGATGTGGGGCTTGGAAGGGGGGCGACATGGCTTTTGGAAGTCGACGTCGCATTGTACTTGATTCGTTGTCATATATGGTATGGATTCCTGCGTGTTGTATTGGAGGGGGGCTTCGATGACCTCGCCATCACGAAACCTGGCGGCTACGCAAATCAATATCGCAAAATGCTGTGCATCTCTCCACGGAGGCTCCCCCAAAATGATCCATCGCAGGCACTAGGTGCGTCATGCCAGCGCGATTTGTCCCTTGTCACGAACTAGTTTAAAGGGTTGAATCGTTTCACCCGAATTGAGGTCGAGTGCTGCTCCACGCAGCCAGGTAAATTGAATCTGGGGAGGCGTTTGGAGACACCTGTGAAGAACTTGCCCATAGAAAAATCCATAGGTACCAAGCTCTCTCTCGGGTTACGGTCTTGCTGAGTTCCACGTCCGAATGCTGCGTGGCTTTTTTGTGCTCCACTTCGGCACAGGCAAATCGACCATTGCATGTTGGAAACTCCCCTACCACCCACTAAATGACCTAGGACCATCATGTGGTTCATCTTCACGTGCCCGTCAGTGAACTTTGATCTGGGGCCACACACTCCACTGAACTCTTCGTACTTCGTCGTGAAACCCTGGACAGAGTAGGACAAGCGGGGATGATTATTGTGGATGGGATCTGTTGAACTTACCCATGCTGGAATCTCCTGGTCAAAAAGATCTCGACGGATGGCTGCTTTTCTTCACCGCTACCATCGACAAGGGGTGGAGATCGGGTGGCTGTTGTTTCTCGTGGCATGAATAGGCGGGGATGGGTTTAAGGACCTTGAATTATGACATGCTCCGAATACAGCACTTTGTCGAACCTTGCATTTTGCAGCCCCTCCCTTGAGAGTCGCCAAGGATCTGCAACTGCGCGGGGATGCGATTTGTTAGCGGCGGTCTTTGTAGAAAACTTCCTTTTATAAACGTGGTAGCCGACGTCGACATGATACCATCGCACATACGAAGTCTCCGGGCGCCCCTAGTGCGCGGCGGCAGGAGTGCTGCTCATATTTCCCGCAAGTATGGCGCGACCCATATCATGGTTTGCTCGATACGTAAAATTTCCCCCAGTTCGAGGGGGCTCTTGATGTGGGCTGAGAGCGCGCAAGTACCATTCTGTTCCCTTCATGCAGGCCCTGGCAAGGCTCGTCAATACAGTTCCTGGCGGGTCAATACCACTGGAATATCCGACCAGTCCAACATCTCTGAGGCCAGTGCAGCGCCGTGCGGTCCTCTACACGAAAGAAAGCGTTGTTGGTGTTTTCGATGATTTCTTTTTATTGGCTAAAATGTTTGGATGATCCCACGATGCACAATTACATTAGCCAATCGCATTGATCTGTCCAGTATTTTTCAGAGAATTTCGACGTCGGTCGGACAACCCCAGGAAATGAATACTACCGGTATCTCGTTTTACGAAAAATCGACCAAGATGTGCGTTTCGCGACTTCCTGTGCTGCATGCAGTAGCGTCGTGTGTTGTCGAGACGAGTACACCAAAATGGGGAGGCACAAGCGCTCGATCATGTCCGCGCACACTTTGTTGGCAGGTTGGCCGCCTGTGAGAAAGACATCGAATGCATCCTCCATGAACCAATCAGAACGCAGGTGCTGGATCTAGGACTGAAGCGACGCATCCGGACTTTATCCGGACACATCCGAGAGCGGCATCGGAAGTGGGGAGGCTCAACATGTGCTTACGTAGGAACGAGAAGGCGACAAATTCACACCGCGCGCGACAAGTGCCGTTTCTGTCATAGGGACTACCGAAAGATACCAACAAACACTGCCATCAGCGGACTTTAAGTCGGCGCTTGCAACGCCTTCCATTCAACATGATATGCAAGGTGGTCGAAATCACTTTGCTCGTGGTAATTCACGACATGTCGAGTAACATACGCGCGAGACATGAACGACGAAGTTGTTGTGTACGAACTGTAGCGGATCCAGATGACGAACATTGCCCCCTGTGTTTCGGTCAAGTCGACGTTCTGTGGCTCCCGAGTCCGACGGTTTGTAGCCAAAGTGCCATGTTAAAAAAGAGCCTTCGTCGACCCCCGTCGACATGCTTCACCTTGACACCGAAAGCGACACGTCCGAGTTGGGCACGTCGTTGGAAGTGGGTGCGAAGAATTCGCGAGGTCAAGAAAGTCGGGCCCTCAAACATTGAACAGCCTTTTGCATATCGCCGTCATCCAGCGGTGCTTCCAGCGGTGCACATCGTGTACATACTGCCCATACACAAGCACGCACGAGTTGAGACCAGCAATGCCCCTCCATGCAGAGCCAAGCCCGTGTACGGGCGCCCTCTCGGCACTACAGGCCTCACTCGTTGCCCTCTCGATTTTCGCCGCCCCCGCTACATAGACTTAGGCGATAGATTCATCTGCTCGTATGGCGAGGACCGCACGCGGCATCCTTCCAACCAACCCCAGCACCATCCACCACCGATGTTGTGTTCGTTGCCGACCGACGCACAGCCAGCTGGTGGGCCGTCTGTTTCGCCCAACCAAGCTTGGCGCACTTGTGCAGTCCACGTGCGAAATAAACACCAGCAACGCCACCTCGATTCCAAGCCGATTTCTCACGCGAAGCGCGCACGGACGCGTGCGTTGGAGACATCTCGTTCGCTGCATACCCGCCCCCGACGTCAAAACTACCAACGCATCTCGCACCCTCTTGAAAAAGGTGGAGCTGGAATAGCTACTTGTCATCGGCGAGACAGGCGTCGGGACGAGGTTTTCCTTCAACAATGTAGTCCAACCACGTTTCCGATCATGTTACCTACCCAGGCGTCGCCGAAGACGCCACCACCACGGCGGTCCATACAGTAGCCCTGTGATGTGGTCCAAATAGTCGGGACGGACTGCCACCCCCCATTCTACCTATTGGGTGATATACCCCATTTCAAAGAAAATACTCGGATCCAGTTGAGTTACCCAGGAACGAGTGCGCCACCGGCGCCACGGGTGACAGGCGCGTCCATGTGCGCGCCGAATTCGGGCATACTGGGTGGGGAGTTCTCTGGTGTCCAAGCCAGGTGTCTGGTCTGGGACTAGAGTCCAGTCCCGGCGTCGACGACGGTGGTAGCAGGTAACAGTCGACATAGATCGATCCGCAGCGTGTCGAGGATCATTTTGCATTCCTCGACGAGGACGCCACAGCAGCGCACATGGCGACCGACTTTAAGCCGTACAAAACTCCCGCTGGGATGACCGCCGTGGCTGTGCTCGAAGAGCCGTACGAGTACTACCACACTCACGACGAAGCGCCCAACTACCTAGGGAAGACGGTCCTGGGCCACATCATTCAGTACTTTGTGATTGGGATGCTCCTCGGGTCGATTTCGAGCTTGAATGGACCGTTCTTTGCCACGTATTTTCACATGGATCCTGCCCAAGCCAACTTGGCCAAGGCCTTCACGGCCATCGTGTGGAGCTGCAAAGTCGGGTTCGGTATCGTCACCGACTGCTTTCCCATCATGGGCTACCGCCGCAAGTCGTGGATGGTCATCGGGTGGACGTTGTGTCTCATCTCGATGCTCGTGCTGTGCTGCAAAGACCACGGTGCCCCGTACGTGCCAGACGCCCGCCTCCTCGCCACCAAGCGCAACCTGACGGCTTCCGAAAAAGCCCAAGTTGCTTCCCCCAACGTGCACGCTCCCAACAACGGCCTCGTCGCAGCGGCCATGTGCGGTGTCGTGACGGTGTTTTACGTGATGGCAGACGTCGCGGCCGACTCGATGATCGTTGAGATGTCGTTGAAAGAACCCGACCACAAGCGTGGTCGGCTCTTGGCGTACGTGTATGGCTCGCGCAACCTCGGATCCGCCCTCGTGCAAGTCATGATCGGGTCGTTCCTTAACTCGCCCATGTATGGCGGCGACTACGCTTGGGGACTTAGCGTAAACGAGTTCTTTGCCGTGCTAACGGCACCCGTGGCCCTCATGCTGCCCGTTGTGCTCTTCATGCTCAAGGAAGTGCACCGTCCTGTGGTCAACTGCCCGCAGTACCTGGCCGAGTTTTGGCACATGGTCCAAACCCGTCCGTTCTGGCAAACCCTTTTGTACGCATTCTTCTTCAACCTGTTGTCGTCCGTCGTGTTTGTGGCAGCGACTCCAGTTGTGAAATATGAATGGGCCGAAGTCGACAGCCTGCACAACCGGTGGATGACTGCGCTCAGCGCAGTGTTAAACTTGATCGGGCTCTGGTTTGTCAGCCACGTCGTGAACCAGTGCAACTGGCGGAGGAACATCGTGGTTGCGATGCTCATTTACGTGACCATCGGCGCGACCGTGGACTTTTTCACAATCTACAACGTTGTCCGGTCCGAATGGCTGACGCTGTGTTGCGGCGCGATCAACTCGATTATGGACGGCGTGTACTTTTTGAGCGGCTGTATCATCAACGTCGAGCTGGCCCAGGAAGGCAAGGAAGGTGTGACGTACGGCATGCTAACCACGATGGCCAACGTCGCGTATGTTTTTACGCCGTTCATCGGGCACATTCTGATGACCCCGTTTACGCTGGATGACGAGGTGAAGAACGAATACGACAGCCCCAAGAAGCGATACCTGGTCGCAGTGCCGCTTATCATCGGGTACTCGTGCTCGATCGTAGCATGTGGGTTTGTGCTGCTCTTGCCCAAACAACGCGAGCACATTCGGTTCATGAAGGCATACGGCGGTCGACAGCCAGTGTGGGCTGGACTCACGCTGTGCATTTGTTTCGCCAGCGTCGTGTTCACCGCAGTGACGAGTATTCTCTCCGTCTTCCCCACAACACGGTGCTTGGCCCTCGGCGGTGGCACCGACTGCTAGTAGGGCAACAACGTTACTTTATTTGTGATGCGCGTGTCTAAAATATCTGTTTGAATTGGACCTGGTGCTGGTTGGTCGGCTGGTGGGGGTGTGCAGCCCGCGACCTTCCTTGGCGGACGGCGAATGCGGGGGGGAGAATGGGGAGGGGTCAAAAGCGGGGGTCAAAAGCGGGGCTGAGCTAAGTGCGACGGGGGGGACGGGCAAGGTTTATTTCGGGGGAAAAAACCTCCAAGCGAGGGTCTTTCGGGGACACCATGAATTGGGGCTTTTCAGAACTGGAAGCGAGGCCGAGGAAAGGAACGACTTGGACCGCGGGTGCAATTGACGACCTATTGTAGCAAGGCCCACGCCAGACTTCATGAGCTTTGCAAGCATTGGGAGCTGGCAACAGTACGTGCCGCAAATCGCTAACTGACAAAGTGGGGAGACAGAATTGGTCGAGTATGCTCGAAGGTTGAGTCGACCTCACCCTGCATGCATCAGGCAGTGGAGAGGATGCCTGGCCTGCGATTTGGAATCATGTGGCTGGTCTTAACCGAGGGCGTCAGCATCGAGGGGACCAAATGTCATATTTCACACAAAACTTTACAGTTTTTACTCAAATTTTGTATGGTAGAAATGTTTCTTTCAGCACTGCAAATATCTATTAACCGATCACTTTAAAAGTCAGTACTACCTCCTTCCGAGTTTAACTGGAAGAGCCGGTGAAATTTGGACGGATTACGCTCGAACTTCATCATCAACCTCTAATTCTCAATCTACGCCGACAATATGCCATCTCACAGGAATTAACTTCGGTGGTGGCAACAGACAGGTTCCGAAATGGCACGAGTGCCAGGCAGACCTACGTCCGGCAAAGGGAGCAATCCCAACCTGACGGATTCGGTGCGCGAGGAGATCTTTCGATGTCTCCTCGAACGCTCAACGAACGGTCACCTGCCCCCTGGAAGTCAGGGCGAGGTTGCGAAGGAGTATGGTGTATCGCCACAAACGATCTCCAGGATTTGGAAAAGAGGGCGCCAACCTAGTGTCGGCAAATATGGAAGTGTCTTGTCTAGGAGAAAAGGAAAATGTGGGCGCAAGCTCCTCTATCCTGACCTTTTGGCTAGAATACAATCTACTGACGCGAAAGACCGAACAACATTGTGTGACCTCTCGGTCGCAATAAATGTGCCGAAATCGGTTCTAC